AGAGAGAGAGAGAGAGAGAGAGAGAGAGAGAGAGAGAGAGAGAGAGAGAGAGAGAGAGAGAGAGAGAGAGAGAGAGAGAGAGATCCCGACCCTTGAGTGACCGAGGTCGAGGATGAGACCAATGCACCATATTCTAGAAGTATCCGGACTGTCGCTGTGTGTCCAGCTCGTGCTGCAAGGTGCAATGGCGTGCAACCCGAACTATCTCTCACGTTCACGAATCGGCCCAGGCCCCTGCAGCACCAAACGAAGAAAAGGAAGAAACAATGGGCATCATATGTATGTTTCACACCTGGTCCAACCTTGGCTCATGTTTTGCCTCTTCTTTTGAATGGTTTGACGGCTCTTGACATGCTCAGAGGATGAGGGGCTGTACCGGTGGCTTCATTGTCACTTACGATTCCATCATTTTTCAAAATGATTTTCCTATATGCCTTCTTTCTTCTTCTTCGTTTCAATGGTCCTACTGTCCTGGCTATATTCTATCCTTGCAAGAAAAGAAAAAAAAAAGAAAAAACTTTAGAAAAGGAAAAAAAAAAAAAAAAAAAAGCCTTGGAGCATCAGCGTGGTTTCCCATTATATCGGCAACTCAGTCGAGAAGAGGTTAACAGAGGCCCCTAGAATTTCAGGAGGGTTTTTTTCAGGGTCATTATAACAAACAAACGTCCCACACCTTTTAAACCACTAGTACAGGGCCCCAGGTTCCCAGCCTTTCAGTCCCAAACATGTCGGCCCAAGAAAACGAGCTAGGCTGAAACGTCAAACGCTGGGCCTGCTGTCGATAAATTAGATCGGCGGTCGCGTTTTCGTTTCGCACTTCCAGAATTTGAGGTGTTAGGCCCACGGCCCAGGTGCCCATGTACTGGTGGCTTGTCACCAGTTCAAAGAGTGGACACCACATAAACCAACAACAAAATTTATAATAAAAAGTACCGAACTCAATCCCTCCTGTCGTTGGGCCCAAGGGAGCCTCAAATAGCGTTGATTAATTCCAAAAGGAAGGACGGCGAAGGAGTGACTGTTTTTGTTACCCCCATACCATGGTCAAGCCACTCCTGTCCTGTGCTTCTACTCTAAGAAAAAAAACACGCTTGGAAAAGAAAACAAGGCTGCCCCTCTTATGCCTAGCAGAGGGGGGCAGAGGGGGGAAGAGGAGGTCAAGGTAGCTCTAGAAGTACTAGGAATTTCATGCAGCCGTGAAGCTGAGAGGAGTTACACGGATGTTCATGGTTGCAGCCTTGCAGGGACAGAGCAATGGTTAATCCTTCCCCTGGAAAGGAGGCAATCAACGCCGATGCCTCGGGGGGCTTCAGCCATTTCAGCTCATTACAGAAGGCTGCCCCTTTGTCATGAGGGTTTTTATGAAAGGGGTGCTGAACCCAGTTTCCAGCACGTGTAATAAATGTCGATACCTAAAAACAAACAAACACACACACACCTGTCTCTTATACACATCTAGATGTGTATAAGAGACAGCCACTCATAGACGGAGCAGCCCGACAAGCAAACAG